TGTGTGTGTGTGTGTGTGTGTGTGTGTGTGTGTATGAAATAAAACATTTTGTGGCTAAAATATTCATGTATATATATAAAATTTCAAATATTGTATAAATTAGATCTTTACCTTATTTATTGCTTCAGTATTCGCATTGTATAGCAGCAGCTTCTCTATTATGGATATATTATCACCAAAGGCAGCATAGTGGAGAGCAGTGTTGCCACTCAAATCCCTAATATTTGGATCGGCACCATTTTCCAACAGTATGTTTACACATTTCTCTTCCTGGCACTGTACGGCCTGTCAGTGATATGCCAAGAAACAGAGTGTAAATTCTGGGAATTTAAAGTAAGCATGCCACAGGTTTCACCAATTAGTTTTGTTTCAATGCAATAACTTCACTTTCGTTCTAAGTAATGACATCAAATCCATCTCAGGCAGACATAGCTGCTACTACATACCTTCATGAGAGCTGTCCTGTTTTCATTATCACAGAGGTTAAGATGGCATTTCCTCTCTATTAGGAGGGTCACCACTTCTGGATGGCCATTGGCACAGGCCAAATGAAGAGCAGTCCTAAAAAAGTGACAGGACTTTTTAGGAAATGATAGTGCACTCTCTCAAAACATGCAATTAATTCAGGAAATTGTAAACATTAAGTAGCATGTTATTCCTATGCCTCCAAAACAAAGATTCAGTTTTCCTCTGGAGAAAGTACAATATTTAGTAGTGATTACTCATTACACTAATAAAAGAGCAGCCTGTTTGAAGAGAGAGAGCATGACCTCGGGATTCAGCTCCACTTGGGTTTGCATCCTAGTTTAACTCTGTCACGCACTAGTTATTGCTTAGACTTATCCTCAATGTCCTCAACAAAAGGGGATAAAAATTGTAGTTGTCTCGGGTCACCTGGCTAGCTCAGTCTGAAGAGCATGTAACTCTTGATCTCAGGGTCATGAGTTTGAAGCCCCACAGTAGGTGTAGAGATTACTAAAAAAATGGTAGTAATAAAATAAAATGAAATGAAATAAAATAAATAGTAGTTATCTCACAAGACCTCGTTGTGATGCTTAAATGAGGATCTATGCAAGTATTTAGAACACTTCCTAGTACAAATAACATCTCAATAATTGTTGGATAATATGATTATAATTTTTACTATTACTACTGCTTTACATAGACAATACTTCAATTAGGTACCTTAATACAATTATACCTACTTTGCAGACATGTTTTAAGGATTAGCAAGAATACTGTTTCAATAATTATAAGATGCTCATTTTGTCACATTTAGTATCTCTGACATTGGAATGCAATTTATGACTCAAAACGTCTTACAACTACAACTGAAAAGACTTTAAAAAATTTTTTTATTGGGGGCGCCTGGGTGGCTCAGTCGGTTAAGCATCCGACTTCAGCTCAGGTCATGATCTCGCAGTCCGTGAGTTTGAGCCCCACGTTGGGCTCTGTGCTGACAGTTCAGAGACTGGAGCCTGTTTCAAATTCTTTGTCTCCCTCTCTCTCTGACCTTATCCCATGCTCTGTCTCTCTCTGTCTCAAAAATAAATAAACATTAAAAAAAAAATTTTTTTATTGGTACATAAAATAGTGGGACATCGTAGAATCTTGCTGCCTTCCATTATGTGAAATGATGGTATATACAATAGGTCTATTGCAGTTCTAGTCATATGATTGGCATTTAAATAAATGTTAGTTCTTTTTTTTTTTTTTTAATTTTTTTTTTTCTTTCAACTTTTATTTATTTTTGGGACAGAGAGAGACAGAGCATGAACGGGGGAGGGGCAGAGAGAGAGGGAGACACAGAATTGGAAACAGGCTCCAGGCTCCGAGCCATCAGCCCAGAGCCCGACGCGGGGCTCGAACTCGCGGACCGCGAGATCGTGACCTGAGCTGAAGCCGGACGCTTAACCGACTGCGCCACCCAGGCGCCCCTTAAATAAATGTTAGTTCTTAAAAGCATTATAGGAAAAGAGGACTAAATTAACAAAAGAAAAACATTTTTAAGTACTTCTTACTTTTCTTCTCAAGAAAGTTTAAGCCAAAGGAAACTCAGGATTCCAATGACAAGGAACAAGGAACAGCTCATTTTATTAAATATTGAGGTCTATAGATTTATGAAAATCAAGTATTTCCAATGATCAATATTAGTATTTAATACTATCATAAATTTCAAAAGGGCAGGTAAAGGTTATCTTTTACAATTTCCTATCTTCAGAAACATTGAAAGGAAGGAGGAAAACTTCAATTGAGATCCTAATACGTGAATTTAAAATTTCTCATCTTAGGGATGCCTTGCCGGCTCAGTCAGTAGAGCATACAACCTTGATCTCAGAGTTGTAAATTTGAGCCCCATGATGGGTATAGAGATTACTTTACTTAAAAATAAAAACTGGTGCAGAGCCTGCTTTAGATGCTCTGTCCCTCCTCTCCCCTTCCCCCTCCCCCTGCTCATGCTCTCACCCTCAACAATAAATAACACTTAAAAAATAAAGTAAACAAGATAAAATCTGGGGCACCTGGGTGGCTCAGTCTGTTAAGTGTGCAACTCTTGATTTGGGCTCAAGTCACGATCTCATATTCACTGGATCAAGCCCCGTGCTGAGACTCTTTGAAAAGTCTATTTGAAAAGTTCCTGCTTTCAGCACGGGGCCTGCTTGGGATTCTCTCTCTGCCCCTCCATCCCCCCACCTCCCACCCCACCCCTCTCAAAACATCAATAAACTTAAAAAAATAAAATCTTTAGAAAATAAATAAATAAAATGTCTCATCTTGCTCATACTGTGCAAAATGAAGTCTTTGAGAATGAAAAGATCTTGAGAATATGTCTGCTATATAATATACATGCAGGTTCTAGTTGATAAATAAATGGATGGAAAGTGGATAAATACAGTTGGAGAGTTCAATATTTTTAAAAAAAATTTTTTTTCAACGTTTATTTATTTTTGGGACAGAGAGAGACAGAGCATGAATAGGGGAGGGGCAGAGAGAGAGGGAGACACAGAATCGGAAACAGGCTCCAGGCTCTGAGCCATCAGCCCAGAGCCTGACGCGGGGCTCGAACTCACGGACCGCGATATCGTGACCTGGCTGAAGTCGGACGCTTAACCGACTGCGCCACCCAGGCGCCCCATCAATATTTTTAAAGAAAAGGTATATAAAGTAAAACAATACTTCTGAAACAGCAATAATCATTTATATTTGCTATTTATCTTGTTCATAAGCACAAAACTAATATATTTTGTTTTTATGATTAATATAAATCATTTACCTATTATATGTAATAAAGCTACATATAACAGAAAATATATGTATATGTTTAATGTATGCATAATAAAATCTACAAATGCAAATAAAAATATTCCCTTTACTTCTGAAGAGGCCAAAAGTTGTCAGAATATACCAATCCTAAAAAAAATTTTAATTAACTTGGTTTTCTTAATTTACATCCAAAAATATTTTTTAACACAAAGTGAGAAATTATTTTCATGTATATAAGATTCATATTCTTGCTTTTCTCCAGGATTTCTTCAACGATAACAAAACTTTTTCATTGATAATAAACTTTTAATAGGACTTTTATACACCTTTTCCTGTAGAAAGCACAGATTCTCTTTAAAGGAAAAGAAAAATGCATGTAAATTCAAAGGCTCAGAAATAACAAATTTAATCATATTTTGTGCATTTCTGGGCTTAATATAAAACCAAAGTCTGCTTGTGTGTACATATGATCAAACTGATTTTTGTTCTCACTTAATGATCAACTAAAGCACAGCTCTGCATCTCTGTGTATATCTATTACCTATGCCACCTTCAGTGATCACATATCCATCTTATGGATACAATGCCATACTTATAAAAGCCATTATGAGTTCTTAATACATTGCTATTTTAAATAGTGCTGAGAAAAGCAAAATGTATGTCATTTATCTCTAGTAATTTCCTAAAGATATTTTAGTAGAAATAAAATTGATGGGTAAAAGGAATACATATTTTTTGTGGTACTTACACCAAATTGTATATTGGAAAGTCGAAAACAACTTAAACTTTAAGCGGCAGTATAAGCACCATCACTCTATTTTCACAAAGGTTGTAGATGGAAAACTGTACTTCATTCCCTTTTTAACTTAAATTTCTTTTTTTACCAGGGACGCTATATTTTCCTATGTCCACTGGTCTCGTGTAGATATGCAAAGAAGTACTTTATGCAATTTCAAATTACAGATTTTTTTTTGTTTTGATTTCGAAGACTTCCCTGTAAAACGAAGATATATTTTTTTGTCTGATACAAATATGTTGTAAATATTTGCAAGTGCATGGTCTTTTATTTTAATAATATTATTTTCTGATCGAGGCTTTTAGTTTTTTATGTTGCTAAATCAATCTCCAGAATTCTTCATTTTTAAAAAAAAATTTTTTTTATATTTATTTATTTTTGGGAGACAGAGAGACAGTGTGCAAGCAAGGGAGGGGCAGAGAGAGAGAGGGAGACACAGAATCTGAGCTGTCAGCACAGAGCCTGAAGCGGGGCTCGAACCCACAAAGCACGGGATCATGACCTGGGCCAAAGTTGGACTGCTTAACCAGCCACCCAGGGGCCCCCAATTTCTTTTTTTCTTTTCCTGAGAGAGAGAGAGAGAAAGAGAGAGAGAGAGAGGCGAGACAGAATCCCAAGCATGCTCCACATTGACAGCAGGGAGCCCCTCGCAAGGCTTGAACCCACGAACCCCTGAGATTATGACCGGAGTCGAAATCAAGAGTCATAGGTTTAACTGACTGAGCCACCCAGGCACCCCCAAAAGTCTTGCTTTTCAAGTCATTCTTAGGATGGGTAAATAGGCATTTGTGGGGGCTTTTTCTGTTACTTTTCTTATTTTGCATATTAAAATGTTTTAATTTATATCCCACCTGGAACTTATTTTAGGGAGATAAAATTCTAACAAGTTTTCTCCAAATCAGCTGTTTCTCCACTATTTACGAATAATTCACCTTTTCCTACTAATATGAAATGTCACCAGCATCAAATTTTAAAGTCTTACATATATTTGAACGTTTGTCATTTTCTACTCTGGAACACTCCTTTATCTGTCTTTTCAGCTGTTCGTAAACGAATAATTTGTGGAAATTTCAGGTACATTTTGATATCTGGAAGGGCAAATCTACCTCCTATTATAAAAAAATAAGTTCTTATTTTAATTCCAGTTCGTTAACATAAAGTGTTATATCAGTTTCAGATGTACAAGACAGTGAGTCCAAAAATTTCCTTAATGACATCACAAGAAGAGCATGTGTAGCTCAAAATTCTTAAAACCATGATGCTTTCATTTGCTTTACCTAAAACTGACAAATACAGGAAGAGACTTTGAGAAAAAGGAGTCCTATTCAGAGCCATCTTCCACTTCAAAATGTCTTTCCAAGGTCCCTCAGTAAATAGCACACGTACATAAGTGTACACAGACATAAACTGGATACTGGATTTTATCCCAAGAATACTGGATTTTTAGCCCAGAAGTTGATTACAGGAATTATTTCTCCCATTATGCACTTTTCTATACCATTATGGCATGAAAATGAGTCCATTAAAAACAACATGTTGTCAACACTTAATTTCGTGTGTATTACTATTGAAATTTGGGTAAATCACGTCAAACTTGAGAGTAAAGTGCTCTATTCGGGAATTACGACTACGTGCCAAGGCAGCTGAAGATTTTGTTTTTGCCGCTCACACTGTCCGCCTGGGCGCTAGACCACGTTGGGTTCCCACCACCGAGGGGCAGCGGGACCTCAGGAGGGAAGAAAACCCAGCTCCCCCAGGGCTCCGATGCACAGGTAGAGCTAGACCAGGTGTGCGCTTCTCCCAGGTCGTTCCCGCCTCCTCCCTGCCAGCCTCCAAGTCCCTATTACCTGTTCATCTTGTCTCTATCATCCACGCCATTTTTCCCCAAGAACAGAATCTGCTGCACTTTCGCTACGTTGCCCACGCAGGCAGCCTTGTGGATCTTTCCGAGATCTCTGTCTCGGACGTGGTAACCCATCAGGAAGTTGTCAATCCTATTATTCTTCTGCCCAACAGAAGCGGAGCCCAAGGGCGACACGCCCTTCTTACTCCCGAACCCAAATATCCTCTTCATTGCTAAGCCTACGGGCTCCACAGAGACTTCACCTCGCCCTCAGCTTTTCACTACTTCCTGAGCCCAACACTAGCGCTACAGATAGGCCAAACACTCCTGGCCACAACACCCCAGCAGTGACGCTCCGCGGCTGTGTAGCTCTCACCTCACGGTAACCTTCAGGAAGCAATGCTGCTTAAAACAAGTGCGCTTGCGCACTTCGGAAATATGTAATCACTGCGCGTGCGCACAGAGGGCTAGCGGTCAAGGGTACCCAAAGCGCATGTGCGAGGCCCCAACCTCTCAAATCTCAGTGATTGCTTGAGAGCAGGGCTGGGTGCCTTCAGATGGGAGTTAGCTGAGCGTTTCTGGGCATTTGCAAAAGTTAGGATCGCGGTGTGGAAAAGCAGCCCGTGTATACGACTGAGGCTAGAGTGACGCTGAACTTCGGGATGCTGACTGAAGACGTCGTCCCCCAGAAAACTTCCCTTCAAAAAGCTCTCTAAATCTCTTTATCCCTCAGTTTATTCTTCTTCCGTATCCCTCTGGGCCCTAGCCTGTCTCCATAGAATTTAGCAGATGCAGCACCAGCAAACGTTTTCTTGGTCAGAGACTCTGGCAGCTAGAGACCTTAAATGCAAGTTGATGAGGCGGGGGGGAAACAACGTATTCTCCAGATGAAATGAAACCGCATTTCTGCACGCCTCTGAATCCTCCCCTTGGGCCCAACCTTACGTTTACATTTTCTTTTATTTGTTGGTGTTAGTTCCCAATTAAATCTTTAATGAATCCAAGATTTATTTGGGAGCATGGTGTAACATTTAGGAATTTTTTTTTTAATGTTTATTTGCTTGTCCTAAATAAGACATCTTTTCTCACCTAGTTTAAAATGCCACTTGATCGTAGATTAAATTTTCAGGTGTTTTTTTTTTTCCTTTTCCTGGGTTTTACGTTGTGTTCCATTGACTAGTCTGCTTCTTGCATCAGTACACTACTATTTTATTTTTTTTTTTAACGTTTATTTATTTTTTTGGGACAGAGAGAGACAGAGCATGAACGGGGGAGGGGCAGAGAGAGAGGGAGACACAGAATCAGAAACAGGTTCCAGGCTCTGAGCCATCAGCCCAGAGCCCGACGCGGGGCTCGAACTCACGGACCGCGAGATCGTGACCTGGCTGAAGTCGGACGCTTAACCGACTGCGCCACCCAGGCGCCCCAGTACACTACTATTTTAACTTCTGACAACAGCTAATACGAAACCAGCTACCCTAAACTCACCAGATTCCTATTACATTTGTTAATGATTTAAAGAATTAACCAAAGTAGGAGCCCCTGGCTGGCTCAGTAGAGCATGCAACTCTTGATCTTGGAGTTGTGAGTCCAAGCCCCACATTGGTCATAGACCTTGCTTAAAAAAAAAAAAAAAA